TTGGAGATTGGGGGTGGGGGGGTTCTGAGGGGGACAAGGTTTGGGGAGGGACCTCAATGGGGTATAATTCCATACAGTCCACCTTCCAAAGCGGATATTTTCTCCGGATGAACTGATCTCTGCTGCATGGGGAGCAGCTGTACTCCCGGGAGATTTCCAGCCACCACCTGGAGTTTGGCAACCATAAACGGAGCCCACAATAAGAGATGATGGGAGATAGAAGGCAGAACAGGAGATAGGATTTTACACCAAGGCGGAAGACCAGCCGCTCTCCTTCCCCGTCACTGACCCCCTCCCCACCCTAATGCCTTTCTTCAGCCTCCCCACTTCACCCATGGGGGTAACTCCAAAACAATCTCTGCTACACCGTCGGACGCCTCCGCGCTTCTTACCCAATAGCGACTTCCTGACTTTCATCCCACCCTTTTCGAAAGACGACCATAGAAAATAAAGCCTAGAGCAGGACACAAGACAAAACTTCCGGTAAACGGCACCGTGAAACCCGCCATTGGTCGCAGGGGTGTCCACTCTAGCCCTCGATGCATCTGTGGCGAAAATACTTTGCATCAGAGCCCCGGAAATTCCTTGAAGAAAGAAAATTGCTAGGGTGTTGTTGTTTTGTTTTTAAACCCTTAAAGAGCCTGCCGCCAACCCAGTCTTGGCGATAGTTATAGGGTCGCAAGGTCCAATTTTCTCCCCGGCGGGAGGATTAGGGACGTTTCAGGAGGGGGCGTGGCCCGGGAAACTCCTCTTGCAAGGCAGGAACCGGCGGCCTCTGCCTCTCCCCTCTCCTTTAAACGTTGCTGGGGAGAGTTGGGGGGGGGGAGTCCGGGTGGTCGCTCTTGGGGCCCCCTCCAAATCGGGCAACCCCGCCAAACCGGGAGGTCTGGCAACCCCGCGCGTTTACATTAGTAGAATTACTTTCAGATTCAATATTCCCGCTCGCTTGTGTCGGCAAAGGGGTAAAAGTCGGGTCTACATGGATCCTCATGAATTCATATGATTTTTACATTGAAACGAAATAAAACCACCATCATATTGTAGGCCACAGAAAGGAATGCATTCGCAATTAACCAGACACAGACTGAGCTCCCCAACCCCCATGGCAGCGTAGCTGACACTTAGACTATAGGAAGCACTACAAAAATGATGCCCCCACGAATTCGTGGCTCCACAAAACTGCAAAAACATGGTTCTGGAGCACTTTTTCAACTGGGTCACCCCAAACACACCATCAAATCACATAACACATCCACGTCCACAGCTTGCATCATAAAAATCACATTAAAAACGTTCCTCCGCCTCCCTGAGCCCCGGGGTGGTGGCCTTGGACTAGTTGGGGCAAATTCCACCTCTCACATGTGACGTCCAGCAGCAACTTCTGGCTCCCCCAGCTCTCCTTGGGGGCTCTGGTGCTGTCGGCGGCAGCTGCAATGGTGGCGGGGGGGGGGCAAATATTCCTCCACCTCCCTGAGCCCCGGGGTGATGGCCTTGGACTTGTAGGGGCAAATTCCACCTCTCGCGCACGTGAGAGGTCATTCTGGCTCCCCCAGCTCTCCTTGGGGGCTCTTTAAAAAGCTATGGCCGCTGGCGCTGTCGGTGGCAGCTGCAATGGTGGTGGCGGGGGGCGAAACATTCCTCCGTCTCCCTGAGCCCCGGAGTGGTGGCCTTGGACTCGTGGGGGCAAAGTCCACCTCTCGCGTGTGATGTCCATGAATTCTCTGGTGGAGGTAGTGGCCATGAACATGATATGTGGTTTGATAGTGATGTTGGGGTGACCCAACTGAAAAACCCTGAAGATCCATGAAGGTCCGTGCTCCAGAACCATGTTTTTGCAGAATGGTGTTGCCACGAAGCTGTGGAGCCATGATTTTTGCAGTTCTAACAGTTGGCATGGACATGTAATGTCCTTGGGGGCTCTTTAAAAAGCTATGGCCGCTGGCGCTGTCGGTGGCAGCTGCAATGGTGGTGGCGGGGGGCGAAACATTCCTCCGTCTCCCTGAGCCCCGGAGTGGTGGCCTTGGACTCGTGGGGGCAAAGTCCACCTCATATATATAAGTAAGGGGAAGGGGGTGAAAGCATTGCGGGAAGCCACAGGAGGGGGGAAGGTGTATGGATTGTAGGGTAAGTAATCGTTTATGTACTTTTCTTTTTAAAGTTTTAATGGATAAATGTTGAATACCTACGATTGGAAAATAATAAAACTTTGTTTACCAAAAAAAAAAGAAAAACCATGAGGATCCACAAGGATCTGTGCTTTGGAACCATGTTTTTGTAGAATGGGGTCGCCACGGAGCAGTGGACATATGATTTCTTTGGGGCATTCTGTGGCCATGGACAAGGCATATTATTTGATGGTGATGCTGGGGTGACACAATGCAAAAATCATAAGGGTCCATGGGGATCCGTGCTTCAAAACCATGTTTTTGCAGCATGGTGTTGCCACAGAGCCGTGGCACTGTGATTTCTGTGGTGCATTCTGTGGCCATGGACAAGGCATATTATTTGATGGTGATGCTGGGGTGACACAATGCAAAAATCATAAGGGTCCATGGGGATCCGTGCTTCAAAACCATGTTTTTGCAGCATGGTGTTGCCACAGAGCCGTGGCACTGTGATTTCTGTGGTGCATTCTGTGGCCATGGACAAGGCATATTATTTGATGGTGATGCTGGGGTGACACAATGCAAAAATCATAAGGGTCCATGGGGATCCGTGCTTCAAAACCATGTTTTTGCAGCATGGTGTTGCCACAGAGCCGTGGCACTGTGATTTCTGTGGTGCATTCTGTGGCCATGGACAAGGCATATTATTTGATGGTGATGCTGGGGTGACACAATGCAAAAATCATAAGGGTCCATGGGGATCCGTGCTTCAAAACCATGTTTTTGCAGCATGGTGTTGCCACAGAGCCGTGGCACTGTGATTTCTGTGGTGCATTCTGTGGCCATGGACAAGGCATATTATTTGATGGTGATGCTGGGGTGACACAATGCAAAAATCATAAGGGTCCATGGGGATCCGTGCTTCAAAACCATGTTTTTGCAGCATGGTGTTGCCACAGAGCCGTGGCACTGTGATTTCTGTGGTGCATTCTGTGGCCATGGACAAGGCATATTATTTGATGGTGATGCTGGGGTGACACAATGCAAAAATCATAAGGGTCCATGGGGATCCGTGCTTCAAAACCATGTTTTTGCAGCATGGTGTTGCCACAGAGCCGTGGCACTGTGATTTCTGTGGTGCATTCTGTGGCCATGGACAAGGCATATTATTTGATGGTGATGCTGGGGTGACACAATGCAAAAATCATAAGGGTCCATGGGGATCCGTGCTTCAAAACCATGTTTTTGCAGCATGGTGTTGCCACAGAGCCGTGGACATATGATTTCTGTGGTGCATTCTGTGGCCATGGACAAGGCATATTATTTGATGGTGATGTTGGGGTGACACAATGCAAAAATCATAAGGGTCCATGGGGATCCGTGCTTCAAAACCATGTTTTTGCAGCATGGTGTTGCCACAGAGCCGTGGCACTGTGATTTCTGTGGTGCATTCTGTGGCCATGGACAAGGCATATTATTTGATGGTGATGCTGGGGTG